CTTCATCAGAGACCTTGCTTCATATGCTCGATGTGCGACGAGCACTCGCTTTTTATATAGAAAGAACGCGCTCATGGAGACGTACGGACAGACTACTCGTGTCCATAGCACAGCGCTCTAAAGGCAATCCTCTTTCCAGTCAACGCATAGCTAGATTGATTACCGATTGCATTTCGATCTGTCACTCGCTCAAGGGAAGGCCTCTCCCTTCTCAACCGATTGCTCATTCCACTAGAGTGATGGCCACCTCCACTGCCTTTGCCAGAGGCGTACCTCTCAGCGACATCTGCCGAGCAGCCACCTGGTCCTCTAGCACTTCTTTTGTTCATCACTACGCTATAGTACGACGTTGGGCCTCGGATGCAGCTGTAGCGTCCGCGGTTCTAGCCTCTATGGAGGAACATTGACCCGGTGCGCATTTGGGCTACTGCTTTGTACTCACCTTGAGTGGAGCACCCACGGGGACCACTCGAAGAAGAAGGGGAAGTTACTCACCAGGTGTAGTAACAATCGTTCTTCGAGATGTGTACCCGTGGGTGCTCCACTACCCTCCCTCCTTCCCCTGCTTGGAGCCTCATACTCTAGCGGGTAGAGAAGGAACGGAGGAGCCGCGCACACGCAGGTGCCCCTTCAGTTCCAACGACACTAAAGGGCACCACGGCGCCTGCGCGCCGCGGCAGAAACAGCTAGAAAAGTCTCCGGTTGCCGGCGCGAGGACACACCAGCACCCAGAGTGGAGCACCCATGGGGACACATCTCGAAGAACTACCGTTACTGCACAAGGTGAGTAACCCCTGTTTAAAAAAAAAAGCCCTTTCTCTCCCATTTCAGTTTAGTTAGTTAAACTGCCTGGCTTTCCAGGATTTAAATGTTGCTCCTCTTGCAATGATCCTATTCCAGTTTCCAATGGGCACTCCCAATGTATCCATTGCCTCTGGGAAGTCCATATCTCTCAAAAATGTCCCCACTGCTCAAAACTAAAATCAAAAGCTCGCTGGGACTGAGATCTCCATCTTAAATTAATACTACTTGAAAAATCATTACGCCCTGCCTCTGACTCAGGGCAAGATTCTGAGGCCTCTCAATCTTGTAGAGATAAAAAGCCCGTGAAAAAGTGAGCTTCTTCAGAACCCTCTGGCACTGTATAACCATCAGTCTCAGTGCCAAGAACATCTGCAGCACCATGCCTCAGCACTTATGACACACTGGGCATCTCTGGCAATGCCAGCACTGCAATGAAATCCTGTGCCAAGGCCACAGGCTTCAAGTTGCCTGCCTCACAGCACATGGCACTGCAGGCACCGAGAATGTCACAACGGCACCGCAGGCACCTCTGCCAGTATCTACCGCTTCTACGATGCTCGCTGGTACCATGCAGTCACCTCCAACATCACCAGCACAATTGGTACTCATCTGCTCTCGCTGGAGCAATTTTTGAGCGAGGAGGACGATGATAATGTGAAGGTACTTTTCTTCTCTCAGAACTTTCCTCCTACTGACTACCGTACTCCATCTATTCCACCAGAGTTCACACAAGATATACCAGACAAAGAGACCTGCTCCCTTGGTATGGAAACCCATGGATGCCACCTCCAATACCCTATCCGCTGCAGTGGCAGTACTGGCATTCATGGGGCTCACACCACAGACATCTGTCTACCAGAAATCATGCCACATCGCAGAGATAGTTCCCCTCCACCTCAATCACCAGCTCCACAGTGTCAGCAAGAGAACATAGACCTGACTCTGGACAGATCTTTAGATACTAACTCCTCTTCCTTGCCCGATAAAGCCATCATGCCCCCTCCTCCTACGACTGCTGATGACTTCTCACATTTCCAGGACCTCTTTAAGCATGTTTCTTCGGAACTCAACATCCTGCTGCAAAAGGTTGTGGAGAACCAACATGAGCTTATATACATACTCCAGTTGGTAACATCTTCAAAAATAGTCCTACCTATTAACCCAGCAATCATGGAGCCAGCTAAAACCATCTGGCAAACACCTGCCGCCACCACACTTACATGTAAAAGGGTGAACAGAAAATATTATGTCCAACCCTAGGGCTCTGAGTTCCTGTTTACTCACCCTGCACCTAACTCACTGGTTGTGGAGGCTGCCCACCAGAAAAGTAAATAGCAACATTTCAGGTCTACACTTTCCGATTGTGATAGTAAATGGCTCGACCTATTTGGATGTAAGGTCTATATGTCATCCATGCTGCAGTTTCTAGTGGCCAATTATGCAGCCTTGCTGAGCAAAGATGATCACAGAAACTATTCCAAATTTAGCGACTTTATTGCCGACATACCGGAGGCAAAGAAACAACAATTTAAAGCCGTAATTGCTGAGGGACACACAATCTCCTGAACAGTTTTGCAGGCAGCTCTTGATGCGGCAGACACAGCTGTGAGGTCCACGGCTACTGCAGTCATCATGAGGTGAGCCTCCTGGTTTAACTCAGCTTCTTTCCCCAGAGAGATCCAATCCACCATTGAGGATATCCCCTTTGACTGTGAAAAATTGTTTACAGCCAAACCAATGAGGTTCTGCATACAATTAAAGACTCTAGGGCAACACTTTGATCCCTTGGCATCCATAATCCCGCACCTAGGAGGAGACACTTTAGGTATTGACTAAGATACTCCCAGTATACCCAGCACTGCCCTAAGCAGGACCAACAACAATAACAGTGTAACAGGAATAGGTCCCAGTGACATCACCGACCTTCCAATACTACGCAACAATCTCAGCAGCCCAATAAGCAGATTTGAGACGTGTCGAGGGTTCCAAAAACCACTCGCCTTCTCCATTGTCACCATCCTCGCATAAACTCTTTCAGCACTGCCTCTTACCTTTTTACCATAATTAGTTATCCATAGCATCAGATAAATGGGTGCTTCAATTGAGCACGGCTACACCATTCCCTTTATGACTACACCTCCTTCCTGACTGCCTACCCCATTCCTCTTCAGGAACCACACTCATGAGACTGTTCTCCAACAGGAGATACAACACCTTCTCCACTTGGAAGCTATAGAAACAGTCCCCTTCCAGTATATAAGGGCTTTTATTCCCACTCTTTTCTCACAGAGAAGAAATCAGAGGGATGATGTCCAATCCTTGATTTGAGGGTTAAATAAATATGTGCGGAAGATGGTGACATTTGCTACCATTATCCCAGCACTGGAACAGGGTTACTGGTTCTCATCCCTCGATTTGCAAGAGACATACTTTCATATTTCTATTCACCCAACTCATAGACGTTTTCTTCTGTTTGTCTTAGGTCCCAACCATTACCTATACAAGGTACTATCATTTGGCCTATCCACTGCTTTGAGGATATTCTTGAAAGTACTATCAGGTGTCACGGTCTACCTAAGAAAGCAAAATATTATATTTCCTTACCTAGATGATTGTCTCCTCAAAGCACGCTCCAAACTTGACTCCCAACGCAATACCTCCATCATGATGCTTGTCTTCATATGTCTTGGTCTGCAAATAAAACAAAGTCTACTTTACTTCCATCACAGATTATACAATTCCTAGGGACTCACTTGGACTCTACAACAGCCACTGCCTCTCTTCCCACAGGCTAGTTTCACCAAATAAGGGAACTGGTCCACAAGCTACAATCCAGTCCCAGAGTAACGGCCCACAGCTGCCTTCAATTACTGGGGCACATCACCGCATGCAACTTTGTAGTAACATGCACACGTCTTTACATGTGGTGCCTATGAAACTGGCTCAGAAGCGTGTACAAACCAAATATACACCCAGTTTCCAAACTCCTATCCATCCCCACAATGGTGAGGTAATCCCTCCACTGTTGCACAGTAACCAAAAACCTTTGCTCAGGGGGTCTCCTTTTTCACCCAGAATCCTACTGTAACCATAACAACAGATGCCTCTGTCACAGGATGGGGAGCACACCTAGTGCACCACACGCTATGGTCCAATGCAGAAAGGACTCTTCACATAAACATCCTAGAACTTCACATAAACGTCCTAAATGATAAACGTCCTTTCTCACCCACCCAAAATTCTTACCCAAAATATACTCTATCTTCCAACTCAACACGCATTCTTTTCAAAACTCCATGCCAACTTATTTGAATCAACAATGCATATACTGGACAGAGGCAGAACACTTTCTATCTACATCGTACAAAACTGCAGATTCTCTCCCAAGCTTTTCGTCTCTATAGCAAACTATAATAAAGGTCAAGCTGTCTTGTTGCAGAGACTCTCCTGTTGGATCTCAGACTGTATTAGACTGTTACAATTCTTCCTCTACTAATTCTTCTACTAATATTCGAGCACACTCCACTAGGGCCAAATCTACCTCAATATCCCTTAAACAAGGTTCCCATTGCGGATATTTGCCAAACTGCTACCTGGGGATCGGACCAGACCTTCTCCAAGAATTATGCTTTAACTCTAGGCCTATTGTCTGACCTCAAGTTCTCCCAGGTGGTTCTCTCCACTGCCTTTCTATCAGATCTGAAGTCCCTGTCTCCTTAAAACATACAGCTTTGCAATCACCTAATGTGGAGTACCCACAGGGATATCTCTTGAAGAGGATGTTACTCACCCGTGCAATAATTGATGTTCTTCAAGATGAGTGTTCTTGTGGGTGCTCCACTACCCTTCCTTCCTCCCCTCTGGTTTGGAGTTTGGTGTCTCTTCAAAGGGGGTCTTTCTGCAAGGTAGAGAAGGAACTGGTGGCGGGGGAGGGGGGAAGCTTGCACATGTGCAATGCCAGCACACTTAAGAGTGCACAGTTCAGGCTCCGCACATGCATGGCCCCAGGGACACTGCTTTGAAGATTCTGATCCATGGTGCAGGGGCGCAGCCACACCTAATGTGGGGAATACCTACAGGTACACTGATCTTGAAGAACATCAATTACTGTGCAGGTGAGTGAGCGTCTCATAATTTACTTCTTAACAATTGGTAGTGTATGTGTAAGACCTATAATTACTGTGTTTTGTGTTTAGACCATTACAGAATGTTATCAGTTCAAATTCAAGTATACCCACAATGGGCCGGTAATGGATTTCACCAGGTATTGTCCTTTTGGTTTCTCTCTGCTATGCAATTAACATCTTTCAATAATAGGTTGAGCTAGCATATTGGTGAAATTTGTTACCTGTTGTTTGATTTTGGAAGATGAATCTTAAAATTAAGTTCAGTAAGGAAACTTACTTTTAAATTGTAGATATATCAAAGGTACAGTATCATATTAGCTAGATATATTGCTTAGTATGCTAGTGAATGATTTCACAGTGCCCTCTGTTTGCCCTTTTGGTTTCTGATACACACACAGTGTGCACACACAGAGATGGTTTGGGGTTAGTACTTTTGAAAAAATGTTAAGACAGATATTAAAAATGTAGGAAGCACTTATTTAATACAAATCTGGTTCTCTTCCCCAGGACACAGACTATTCATTCATTTTACATACTTGATCCCTCATCCTTCAAACACTAACATGTATGCTCAACTTTATGATCTGTGAGTAGTCCCATTGGAGTCAATAGAACTACTCACAATTCATAAGGTTTTAAGTATGTGTACACATACTTAGGCTTGAAATGTACTAGTTTCTTTCTCTTAAATATTGGAGGATAAGAGTTTTTCAAACTATATCTAATATAAAGTGCCAGTATGCAGTGTAATTGTAGCCATGTCAGTTCCAGGTTATTGAGAGCAATAAGGTGGGTGAAGTAATATCTTTTATTGGACCAATTTCTGTTGATGAAAGAGACATGTTTTCGAGCCACAGAGAGAGCCAAAGAAACCTAGACTCTATACAGCACTCGGACATTATCGATTTATCAAGACCACCCTTGCGTGGAGCTGAATTAGCTGTGTTCTCCAAAGGACTGAACTTCTGCCTCACTACAGCATGTGATACAATACTAACCTGTGAAAAAGTAAAACATTTCTTCCACCTTTTCCTCAAATGATTTTTTCACAACAGTTATGACACTATATTCACAATTATCGTGTCCCCACTGACAGTCATTAGAAAAAAATAATCAGATGACTAGACACCATAGAGCAGATGAAACCATACTCTTGATCATTACACTGATTGCTTTAGAAAAAAAATTGTCTATGAAATCTTTTACAAACATCACATCCATAGTGAAGGGTGCGTCTACTTTGCTCTTTTATTTCAAGATAACTAGATGACCATTCCGTTATTTCAAAATACTGGACAGCTTATTCCAAAATCTGTAAACTTCATTCTACAAGGAATAATGTCTATTCCGAAATAGCTATTTTGAAATAAGGCATGTATAGATGCTTCAGTGCTGCTCTTTTGAAATAGCCCCTCTCCAGGGCCATGTTAAGTTATTCCTCCCCAGTGCCTCCTGGGGCTCTAATTAGAGATAGCACGTCTGTATTAGGGAAGCCTGCCTTGGACTAATTTTGAGGCTTCCCTGCAATGTAGACATGCTATTTCGAAATGAGCAATTTTGGAATAACTATTCCGGAATAGCTTATTTCGAAATAAGCATGTAGTGTAGATGTCCCTCAGAGAATAACTATACAGTCCCTGAAATGTAACCAACAGATAGTGATTGAACTATCAGACAAAGGAGGCACCATCATAGTTCTCAACCAGGATGGCTATGTTAAGGCCACCGGTAACTCTCCAATACCACCTATTGTGAAGAAATCAGAAAAGGTTCTTCTTTGAGTGGTCCCTGTGGGTGCTCCACTGTAGGGCTACATCTACACTGGCCCCTTTTTCAGAAGGGGCATGCTAATTTTGAACTTGGGAATAGGGAAATCCGCAGGGGATTTAAATATCCCCCGCGGATTTAAATAAACATGTCCGCCGCTTTTTTTCCGGCTTGGGGAAAAGCCGGAAAAAAAGCGTGTAGACTGGCACGATCCTCCGGAATAAAGCCCTTTTCCGGAGGATTTCTTATTCCTACTTCGAAGTACTTCTCCTTCTCCTACTTTTTTGCCAGAGCTGTCTCCCTCGCCTCCATTGCACCGCTCACCCTTGCAGCACATGTATCGTCACCACAGCCCTAGAGCTCATTACTATTCTCGGAGGAGCCCTCGATCCCCATACTGAGACTGCTTGCAGCCTCGTGACAGTCATTATTACAGACACCAGTCATATTCCCCATCGCCTTCCTGTGGGCGATCATCACGTTATTCTTACCCTCCATTATGATTGTCTCACATCGGTTACAGCAGACGGCATGGTAGCGTCAGGTCACCATCTCGATAGGACCGATATTACGACCACCATCATAGGTCAGCTTACTCTCAGCGCTGCTGCTATCACTCATGGTCACATCAGCGATCTCCATGCTCTTGCCGCTCCCCAACCCATCAGTCTGCTCTAGCAGAACTGCAGCAGCATCAAAGACACCAACCAACTCCCCCCTCCGCAGAGCCCACTCATGGTGACTCAGCTCTCGGAGCCGGAAGAGGGTCAGTTATTGGAGGCAGTTGATCAGCAACCAGAGCCACCTATAGCGGACCATTCCTCCTCTTCCCTGATGAGGTGGTTTTCCCGGCGGATATGTCCCCACCAGATGACTTGAAACAATTTCAGGAGCTTTTCAAGTGGGTGGCTCAGTCCCAAGAGGTCCAATTGGCCCTAGTGCAGGCCAGACAAGATCGATTGCTGAAAAACTTGCATCCTCAGCAAAGTTCCAAGATTGCTCTCCCCATTGATGAGGCCATTATGGAGGCTGCCGAAGACATCTGGCAGAGCCCAGCCTCCATCCCACCAACTAGTAGGCAAGCGGACAAAAAATATTTTGTGCTCTCCAAAGTCCTCGAGTTCTTACACAATCATCCGCAACCAAACTCATTAGTGATTGATGCGGCACAACAGCAAGCCAAGGCACCACAGTACAAGACCACGACACTGGATTTAAAAAATTGGACATCTTTGTCAGGAAGGTGTATTCATCAGCTACACTAATCCTGTGCATTGGAAATTATTCCGCCCTATTATCAACTCACAACTTTGATAACTATTCCAAGGTGGCAGATCTCTTGTGATATCTCCCTGATTCAAAGAAGCCACTTTTAAAATCTGTGGTGCAGGAGGGTTATGCTTCATCAAGAGCAGGTTTGCAGATTTCCCTAGACGTGGTGGACATGGCCACACGAACAGCTGCAACAGCGATCATGATGAGAAGATCGTCCTGGCTTGCTTCGGCTGCAATCCCTAAAGAGCTTCAGAACAAGGTGGAGGACCTCCCGTTTGAAAAGAAAAGGCTCTTGGCACACTAAACGGATGAGGTCCTCCATTCGGGGAAAGATTCTCAGACAACACTTTGTCTCCTTGGGATGTACACGCCCCCCTTTAGACGCAAGAGGTACTACCCGTATCAAAGAAGGTACGATTACACTTTTCAGAAATAGCAACATCGAGTGTCGGATCAGTTCCGTTCAAGGCAATGCCCACAACACAGGCGGCCACAAAGCTGCAGGTTTGACTTCTTTGTCGAGGGTATGCAACCAGTCCTTCCTACAGAGGAGAAACATCATGTCACCTACCTCTTCCACCATTGCCTATGACTGTTCCAAGCTCAATGGACAGCTATAACATCAGACCGATGGGTGTTGCAACTAGTGTCATTGGGGTTCACCGTTCCGTTCATGTCCATTTCACCCACAACCCCACCTACCCCGTCCCTCTCCAGGGACCCATCTCACAAGGACCTTTTGAAACAGGAGGTCAGTTGTCTCCTGTCCATTGGGGCTACAAAGCATTCCAATGCAATTCTGAGGAAGAGGGTTCTATTCTCGTTTTTTTCTCACGGAGAAGAAGTCCGGGGCTGGAGACTCATCCTTGACCTCAGGTAAATTGAATCGGCATCTCCGAAAGCAAAGATTCAAGATGGTGACCCTCTCCACCATAGTACCCTCATTAGACAAGGACGATTGGTTTGCAGCCCTCCACCTGCAAGACGCCTATTTCCACATCACCATCCATCCTGCCCACAGGTGTTTTCATCGTTTTGTCATTGGCGACAGTTACTTCCAGTACCGTGTGCTGCTGTTTAGCTTCGCAGCTGCTCCCAGAGTTTTCTTGCAGACTCTGTTGGTCGTAGCAGCTCATTTATGTTGCAAGGACGTAATCATTTTCCCTTATCTCGACGATTGTCTCATAAAGGGCCGATCACGAGAAGAGACATCCCATATGATCACACTAGCCAGACGGACCCTCGAATCCCTTGGTTTTATTATTAACGAACAAAAATCTATGATAGAGCCCACTCGGATCATAAAATGTATAGGGGCACAACTAGACTCCATCACGGCTCAAGCATTCTTATCTCTGGAACATTTCAAAGCAATTCAAGATCTAACCACCATCATCATGCTTGCTCCTACTGTGTCAGTGCTCACTTGTCTACAACTTATGGGACATATGGCCGCCATCACTTTAGTGGTCCAGCATGCAAGGCTTCACTTGTGTTGCCTGCAACACTGGCTGGCGTCATTATATATCCCCACAAAGCACAGCAATCATTAGCATATTCGCGTTATGGCGCTATTTAAAAAAAAAACGCTATCTAGACGCGGTTATTTCGAAAGAAAACCCTTCTTCCGAAATAACTGGTAAACCTCATCATAGGAGGAATAAGGGTTATTTCAGAAGAAGGGTTTTCTCCCGAAATAACTGCGTCTAGACAGCGATTCTTTTTTCGAAATAGCGCTATTTCGAAATAGAGCCATAACGCAAATATGCAAATGAAGTGCAGGATATTTAAATCCCGGCTTCATTTTCAATTTTGAATGTGTAGATTTGCATCCCTCTCTCGAAATAGGGTGCAAGTGTAGACATACCCTAATAGCGTGATATTCACTTGCTTGGAATATTTATAATCACTTGTAAGTAATTCATGGTATATTTATGATATTAGAAACAATTTCGTTCCCATAAAAGATCTGAATATTTTGTTTTTTCCTAGTAAAAATAAAAGAAATGATTCCAACATCACATGTACAGACACTAAGAAAGCAAGTATCCTCCTGATTCGGAAGATTTATGTTCTGATGCAGAATCTGGGCCCTTTACCTAATGATGTGTGCTTGACTATGAAGCTTTTTTATTATGATGAAGGTACTATTTCCAAATTATCTTGATTTATTTAGTGTATAAATAAATATTTTAAAATGATTTAAACAGCATTTTATGTAATTATGAATGTTAAAGCCAAACAGATGTTAGTTATCTCATATGTGTTTACCTCTGCATAGTACTGATTTTTCAAAGTTCTTTGGCTAAAATCCATTTCTGGCTTTATTGGAAACTTTGGGAGATTTGCCATTGACTTCAGTAGAGTCAAGATTTCACCTTAGATAATATAAAAACTGCATCTCATTGTCTTAATTTGGAAATTTGATTCATGAAATTTTAATAAATCTTTTTAATATGATGCATTTTTAATTAGGAAAATGTAGAAGTGTATTTCAATGGTTTAAAGAAGGACCAAACTCTGAAGTTTGGATGGGAAAGTTAGACCTGGTTTTATATCCCACTTAAAAGGCTATTGGAATTAAACTTTTTAGAATATATCACAGTTTTATATCAGTAATTTTTTTGAGGTTATATTTTTATGTGTATGTCAAGGGGCTTGGGAGAGTCACTTGGCCTGGCATCCCCATCTGCAGCCAGATGTGATTTTCAGCCAGCAGGTAGAACAGAAGGTTTCTTGATTCACAGGTCGTACATCTAGATCTGTCACGGATCGGTTAACAAGGAAGCCTTTGTCGACTGCTCCCTTATGCCTCGTGATATGGGGTTTATAGGAGCGGTCGACAAAGGCTTCCCTTGTCAACCGAGCTGCGTCTTGACTTGTGCGCTGTGCCGACGATCAGCTGAGCCAGCACAGCGCGGCGGCCGTTTTTATTTTAATGAAGCCAGGGACTATGTCGGGTAGCCCATTTTACATGCCTCTGTTGGCAGAGGCATGTAGTCTAGACGTACCCAGGGACACAGCGTAGCACAGGATAATTGTTAACATAGGAACTAGGAGCATTCAGTGCCATTTCTCTTGGGGAGCAGGATCTCTGGGCCCTGTTCCCCCCTTGCTGCTCTAAGCCCCCTTTCTCATCCTAAACCAGTGCTCCCCAACCTTTTGGGGCTGCCGGGCCCCAAAATTATTCGGCTGGCGCACATAAATGCCCCAGCGGGTGCTATGGTGCCCGTGGGCACAGTGTTGGGGACCACTGTCCTAAACCAACCAAGACTGACCTGTCGTTCCCCCCCTTCCTATAGTCCCCAGCCTGGTGTCAGCTCCGCCTCTCCCTTTGTTCCTTTTCCAGGGCCAGAGGTGTTTCTGCTGTCACCTGGCCCTCAGGATGTGAGAGACTGCACATATCTCCACTGAGTCATGGCCAGCTTCCCCCTCCTTGTCCAGATAGTGTGCAGTGCTCAGGGAAACTGAAGCGTGCGTGCACACACAGAGTTATTACAGAACAGCACAGGACAGCAGAATCACATCCAACACTACAAGGCAAACAGAGTGAATACAGTCCGAATACAGTCCCCCCGATGTCTCAGTTTTTTAATATTTTAATAAGATTGTTTCTGTTTTGTAAAAAAATAGGCTTTATTTAATACAAACTGGAAAATTAACAGTGTTACTCCAACACAGTCTTTTTATTTTTTCCAAAAGTAAGAATACACTTTATCACATAATAGCATATTTAATTACATTTTTCTGTAGTTACACCACCTGATTACCAGCCTCCTGGTTTTAAAGAAGGTGATTGTGACACAATGATATTTGAGGGAGAGCCAATGTACCTAAATGTGGGTGAGGTACCAACCCCTTTTCATATGCTGAAAGTTAAAGTGACAACTGAGAAAGAAAGAATGGAAAATATTGATAAAAACTTGCTAAAGCAAGGAGACTCTAAGATGCCTACGCAATTAATCAGATTGGACAAAGATCATCCAGAAGAACAGGACCAGCAAATAAATGTAAGGGTTTGGAGGTTGCTACATACTTATATCCAAATCTTTTTATCATTTGAACTCTCTTGAAAAGGGTCACTAACAGGGTTCTTTGTAAGGTGCGTGCCTGCACGAACATGAACCAAGTTTTTCATTCCTGCCCCCAACCCCTCAGCAGAGCCTCACAGCTGTGGCCCCAGGTGCTCCCAGGGTGGGGCCATGTGATGGGTGGCTTCCCCACCCTAGGAGCAGCTGGGCAGGCACCATGTGGCCCTCATGGCATCTGCCAGAGCTGAAACCTGGGTGGCACTACTAAAAATAGCACCGTGGCCCCAGTTTGAGTCCTGGCACACCTGCACTATTCAGCCACCTCTAGTTCCCCATGTTCCTGACCTCAGCCGCCACGCAGCCCCAGCTGCTCCTGGAGTGGGGACAGATGGCGAGCAGCTGCCCTGTGTGCCCAGACTGAAACTGGACCACAGTGCTACTGCTCCTGGACCGGGGCAAGGGTACTAAAAATAGCGCCATGGCCCTGGCTCCACGCAGCCCAGCTCCAGAACCAGGAAGCTAGAGGGGCGTTGAGGGGTGCAGGTGTCAGGAAAACAGAAGGTGAGGGAAGGGACAGGGGGAGAACTAAGGGGAGGGTGGAGGTGAGGCGAGGAAGAGGCTTGGCTGAGGGGAAAGGAGGGGGCCAGGGCAGGAGAAGAAAGGGGAAGGCACCAAGGGGCAAGGGTGTAGGAGAGACAAATGCCAGGGGGCCAAGAGGAGACAATGATAGGAAAGGACAGAGGAGGAGTGTGGGGGAGAAGGGAGGGAACAGGGTGATCCTGGAAGAGGAGGAGGAAGAGCAATGGGGGCAAGAGAAGAAAGAGGAGAGGGGAGGAGTGGGTGCTGGGAGAAGAGGGGTGGGCATGAGGAAGGCCGAGGATGGAGCAAGTCATGTGTGAGGGTACAGAGGGGCGTGAGGAGAACTGGGGCAGAGGGTCGGGAGGAGGTGGGCATCAGGGAGGAAGAGGGCAAGGGGGGCAGGTGTTGGGAAGGGATTGACATTAAAGTTTTAAGATGGGTACAGACTGTTTTTTTGTATCAGAGGTGGAAGCGAATATCTCATGTAGTGTTGGAGTGTGTTATTGGCAGTTTTGTGGACAATATAAAAGAGGCAAAGAATACAAGAAACTTTCCCTTAACTTTCTATTTACATGGTATTTTAAGATTTTGAGTGGATGATGAGTGTCCTTGATCACTAAGTTAAGGTTTTGTGTTAATAATTACACATTGTCATGGTAAGACAAGGGCTCTCCTAGAAGCTTAGGGCCAAATCTGATTAGTTCAGTTTAATGTTTTTGGATGATTATTTTTATTTCATTGAGAATCCGATATAGAATTTACAAAGTATCTTCTTTTTCTTTTTTTACGTAGGAAGATTTTGTTGCAGATAATAAAATGGAAGTTCAGAAAAATGCAAATACATCAGTAAAAGTTGGAGGTAATAAATATAGAATTCAAGACAGCTCAACTTTTGCCCCTTGGTTCTTAAGTTCCTAAATTATTGAAATGAGAAGTAGACTATGTTACATATAATAGTACAATTTAATACTGTTATCCCTTTTGATCCACAGGGCCCTATATGTTGTTTCCATGAGGAGGAGAAATTGATGTTAGAGCCAGGGATTTTCCTGATACAGTCTTGTTTATTTACAAATATTATACATAAAGTTCTTCTTTGGGTAATGTCCCCGTGAGAGCTCCATCATTGGTGACGGGTCATCCCCAGAGCTGCATTTTGGAGCTTTCCTTAGCAGTTGTTAGTTGGGCTGTACATGCGCTGAAGGGGCCTTACACCGTTGGCAGTTTGGCACCCCGTACACGCAGCCCTTTCCACCCTTCAGTTCCTCATTTACTGCTCTTGGTCACGGATGGAGCTCATATCTCACCTCAGGCATTTATTCTCCTTATGCAGCTTTACAGTTTTTTTCCTGCCAGTTCTATCAATTTTGGTGTTTCTCAGTTAGTTACCCATTGTTGCTTGTTCTTAAGAAAAAAAAAGAATTTTTTTGGTTTTTACCCTCGTTCCTGAGGAACTGGCTCACCAGTGGCAGCTCGGTTCTCCTCACCCCCGCCACAGTTATTTTCGCCATCACTCTCCTCATTTTCCCCTTTTTTAATAACAACAACAAACAAAAAAGAAAGAAAGAACGAATAGAACAAAAGACCAATGAAAAGAAATCTCTAGTAGAATCATAGAATCCTAGGGCTGGAAGAGACCTCAGGTCATCGAGTCTAGCCCCCTACCCAAAACAGGACCAATCCCAACTAAATCATCCCAGCCAGGGCTTTGTCAAGCCAAGACTTAAAAACCTCTACGAGTGGAGATTCCACACCCCACCCCAGGCAACCCATTCCAGTATTTCACCACCCTCCTAGTGAAATAGTTTTTCCTAATATTCAACCTAGACCTCCCCCACCGTAACTTGAGACCATTGCTCCTTGTTCTGCCATCCCTCACTACTGAAACTTAATCAGCTACCCTCACGCTCAGCAAGTGGCCACTGCATACTATTATGCCAGGCTCTCCGGGGTTTAAATGTGCCAGCTATGCAGTGACCCCATGCCTGTTTCTGATGGTCACAATTCATGCATAGACGCTGTTCTACAGCCGTGTCTGGGGCAGTCACATGCACCCCAAAAATATGACCACTGCTGCAGCCTCATTGTGAGGGCTAGGAAGGACCGGGAGCTTTAGCTCCAAATGATGTTGTTTGAAAAGGCAGTGAAGCCAACAGAGTTGCCACAGCCAGTTCCGTCCCCAAGAGACCCGCTTAAGAAAAAGGCTGCTTCCCCCTCGCCTCACAAACACCAGAAGAAAAGGATCTACCTGGCGAGGTCACTATCCCCTAAACTGTCCCCCAGAGTGAGCAGGGGAGATGAGCCTGGCACCTCCAGCATCTCAGTGCAAAGACTCTTGGCAGGTACCATTGCTGCAGCACCCTGCATTAACCTGAGGCCATAGTCATCATTGCCAGAGAAGTCATGCGGCACCACTGCAAGCGATGTCTCAAGACCTGGAACAGGGCAAGAGCTCGGAACCTGCAGTGAAGCGGCCCCGCAAGTGCTTGGCAATGCTTTCCAGTGTGCCGACATCAGCACAGATGCCTCTGCCCACAGAGGCTATGGCACAGGCACCACAGCATGCTGACCACACCGAGCCAGCCAGAGTTGCTCATGCCTCACTGGCACCTGACAATAATGACAGGCATGTTGTTTCCCTCCCTATCTCAATGGAACCTTCTTTGGTGCCGTTTTCAGCTTTCACATCTCCAGGCTACATTAGATCTCTGTTGTTACTTGAATGCACCGGACTGGACTTGCTGTGTACGATCAGAGGAGTGTTTTTTTTTTCTTGCTGCACTCCTCTCCTACTGCACCTCACCAATATAATCACTGCTGTGAAAGACCATACCACCTGCCATGGTACCCGGAATGACCATAACGTCCTCCCCATTATTATTCTTCGAGAAATGTTCCTGGGGATGCTCCACAGCAAGTGTCGGTGCGTCCCAGCACTGCAGAGTGGATTCTCCCTAGCAGTGCATTGGGGGGCCATGCAAACTCACTGTCTGTGATGGAAGGGGTTATCATGCCACTGCCCTCAGCAGTTACTGAAGATTTCCCCCCTTTCCAGGAACTTTTTAAGAGAGTCGCAGCAGACCTAAACATTGCGATGGAGGAAGTGCAGGACACACAACGCAAGCTTACCAACATCCTGCAGGCTATGCCTGTCTCTAAAATTGCCTTGCCTATCAACTCAGCCATCATGGAACCTGCCAAAATTGTTTGGAAAACCCCTGCCTCAATTCTTCCCACCTGCAAAAAGGCAGACCGCAAGTATTATGTTCCCCCAAAGGGGTCAGAATTTTTATTTACTCATCCACCACCAGACTCCTTGGTAGTCTATGTGGCTCAGCAAAGAAATAAACAGCAGCATTATCTCCATGCCACCAGACAGATAATAAAAGATTTGACATGCTCGGTAAAAAGTTTTACATCTCAGCCACATTACAACTTAGAGTGACCAATTATGCTGCACTCCTCAGCAAATATGATTTTAACAATTACCCAAAGTTTAATACTTTTATTAGTGATATACCAGAGGCGAAAATGTTGCAGTTTTGAGCAGTCATTGCAGAGGGCCATGCAATATCAAGAACAGCCCTTCACACTGCCCTAGATGTAGCGGACACAGCCACAAGGGCGACAGCCACAGCAGTTGTCATGAGATGGGCTTCATGGTTCAGTTCCTCTGCCTTCCCTCGAGAAATCCAATAATTCGTGGAAGATCTTCCATTTGAGGGCCAAAAGCTCTTACTCTAAAACCAACAAAGTCCTCCATTCCATGAAAGACTCCCGGACCATGCTATATTCCCTTGACATTCAGGGTACGTCTAGACTACATGCCTCTGTCGCCAGAGGCATGTAAATTAGGCTACCCGACATAGTAAAACGAAGCGGCGATTTAAATAATCGCCGCTTCATTTAAATTTACATGGCTGCCGCGCTGAGCCGACAAACATCTGATCAGCTGTTTGTCGGCTCATCGCGGTAGTCTGGACGCGCGGGTGTCGACATCAAAGGTATTTGTCGACCACCCAGGTAAACCTCCTTGGCTCAGGGCCATTCAGCTCACGCGTCAACATTTCTCACATCACCGGAAGACACATCAGGATATATACTAGTTAGGTAGTGTTTGTTCAATAGTTATCTTAAAAAAATTTTTTTTCCTCAGTTCATAATGCCGGCTCATGTTACCACTATCTTGAGAAGACACTTTCAACGATATTCACCATCACCTTGTTGTTATCGCAGACATTCTTGATCACCTTCGTACACCAGAAGCAGATCTCGCTCACCTAGATCGCCTATGCGCTCATCTTCATCTCGTTATCGTCACGATTACAGACGACGGTACTCACCTGCATATTCATTTTCTTGTTACTGTCGTGATCATCATCACCATAGTGACTATCATAATGAGCGACCATACTCTTCTGGACGCTCTTTTTCCTGATCCCCACGACGCTACCGGTATCGCTCTCGTGACAGCTCCAGTGTTCCCACTCCACCAGCCGCTTCTTCGCGACCTTCTACACCGTCTGCAAATGTGCCGCTCCCTCAAGCACAATCAGAACCAGTGCAGCTAGTGACACCGGAACAGTCACAACCACAGGAGCAATCCCCAATGGACCACTCTGTTGCTTCTTCCTCTCTGTATGATGCAGTGTTCCCTGGCGATTTTTCTCCAGTAGATGTCGCTCGTCAATTTCAGGAGCTTTTTAAAAGATCGGCAGAATCACAGCACCTGCATATAGCAGAGGTTCAACAAAAGCAACATAAGCTGTTGAAGAACCTTCAAAACTCCCAAAAATCCAAAATGTAATTACCCTTTGATGACACAATCTTAGAAATTGCCAATGATATATGGCAAACACCAGCATCCTCTCAGCCCACTATTAAGAGGGCAGACAAGAATTATTTTGTTCCCCCTAAGGGGATGGAATTTCTGTTCATGCACCCTCAACAGAACTCATTAGTTGTGGATGCAGCTCAGCAAAAATCCAGGTCGCCACAACACAGGAATGCTACTGCAGATTAAGAATCTAAATATTTAGACCTTTATTGGATGGAAAGTTTATTCTTCCGCCACACTTATATTGAGAATGGCGAAGTTTATTGCTCATCTGTCTAACCATAGCTTTGATAATTATTCAAAGATGGTAGCAGTTTTAGAGAACTTGCCCGACGAGAAACGGCAGCTTTTAAAATCAGTTATCCAGGAAGGCTATATGGCCTCAACAACGACCTTGGAAATTTCCCTGAATATTGCTGATGCAACAGCACGGGCCATGGCAATGTCAGTAGTTATGAGGTGGTCTTCGTGGCTACAGATGGTATCTATACCTAAGGATTTACAATCTAAGGTAGAAGACCTGTCCTTTGACAGACCGAGTCTTATTTGCAGAGAAAACTGACCAAGTTTTGCACTCTGGGAAGGATTCTAGAACTACCCTGAAAACGCTAGGGATGTATACACCTCCATATAATCACAAACGGTATACACCCTACTTCCGACAGAGGCCCTTTTCGTATGGGGGGCCCAGGTTCAGACAACAGGACCATCCATAACAGCAACAACGCCCCTGACCGTCAACAAAAGCGAAGATCCCAAACCGGACAAAACCCTAATTCCCAAAACAACAGACAGCAAGTTTGATGGTCCGATCGAGGGACTGAGAAGCATTCCACTAACGTACGATCCAGGAACATAGAAGTTATTCCATCACCGACTGAGACCGTACCAGCACAGATGGTTTGCCATCACCACAGACTGCTGGGTACGGGAGTTAATAACATCAGGATACTCCATCCCTCTTCTTTCCCGTTCCCTTACCTTCCCTCCATTCCCGTCCCTTTTCAGGGACCCATCTCATG